GCCTTGGAGTTCCCCCGGAGGAGCTGGAAGAAGTGGCTGGGGAGAGGGAGGTCTGGGCCTCCCTTCTGAAGCTGCTGCCCCCGCAACCCGACCCCAGATAGGCGGAAGAAAATGGATGGATAGATAGATGTTCATAGAAATGTTTTTTTTTTTTACCAGCTTCTAAGATTCTAACATTTCTGTAGATACCACATATGTTTATGTCTAACTAAAAGATTTTGTAATAAAGWAGAAAACCTGGGGTTTGGGTTGCAGGAGATGAATGAACCAATTGCCGGGCCAAACTTTGGTCACTTGTGGGCCGGCTGTGGTCCGCTGGCCACCAGTTGAATAGCCCTGGTGTATAAGTTTGTCCAAATGTGTTTACCTGCTTGTGTCCTACAATCATAAATGAGTCACTGATAGATGATAGTAAAAAAGGAGAAGAAAATGTGATTAAAAAAGATGAAAATGCAACAGCAATACAGTGATAAAGTGGTAAAAACCAGAAGACYATACTGTTTTTCTTTCCCCCACAACTATAACCATTATGTTGTTTCTCTGGATGAAAACAAACTTTGGCCACAACAGCTCTAAAATAATATTAATCACAATGTTTTTGCATATTTATTACACACTTCATCACCTCAAAAAGTTTGTTCACCTGTTTAAAAATAAAGCACCTAGCCTCTCGTTGTTGCTGGTGAGGGGGGTCTCTCTATAGTTTTCAGACCTTAAACTCTCCGGTTCAGCGGGTCCTCTGTTACACTGTTTCTGTTCACTGCTTCCACTTGTTTCTGTAGTAACTGCTGACCGAACAGGGGAGGAGACCAGGCAGCAGGTTCTGCTGTGTTACACCAGCTGGGTTTAGTGAATGACTCTGCATCAACGGAGACCGACACAGAGCAAACGTGGAGAAGTTTCATCTGTCACATCTTCCCTTTGTTTCAGCGTGATCCTAATGGAAGGGAATTAACTTCTGGGAGGATGATGATGTTAGCAGGCAGAAACTTTAAATGTCAAATGTCCTGATTTTGAATTACAAAACAATTGAAAACAATTTAAAGAAGATATGCTTTTAAATCCTTCCTTTTCACGTTTAAATCCTTCAGTTGGGGTCTATATAAAATGGAACTGCAATGCTTTGGTCTGAATTCCTCCTTTTTGTAACTTCACAAGCCCCTCCCCTTTTCTGAGGTGGGTCTCAGATCAACTCGTTATGAGGCTGTCTCTTTAAATCCAAACAAGGCACTTCAAACCCTGCCCCCCTCTAGCAGAGCAGTCCATACTAGTTTGACAGAGGGGTTTACGACTACATAGCAGCACGGAAACCTTTTATTTACAAATGAATTAAAAGATGTAAACAACAGAAGACTTGTCCATCCAGCCTTGCATATTGAAGTCAGAGCCAGAGCCAGAGGAGAATGAAGACCACCAAACTGTAGTTGATAAATCCAGACCTTATATGGTAAATCTGTTGCAAGTATTGTGATGTAATAGTTCAGAAAACGTCATAGAAAATAAAGAAAATTGAACGGGTTGAAAAATATGACCCAAACACAATACTGTATCTATCTTTCTGCACTCCCAGAGACAAGTACAACAAAATGCATTTAGTGGCTATAAAAGTGGATTTTGCATAATAAGATCCCTTTTAGCAAAGCTGCTTGACAAACATTTTATCCTAGAATGGAACAGGAATAAGCCAGAAAAAATGATTAAGGAAGATCTAATTGTTCTCCTTTCGAATGCAAATGTTAGTCAGACCACTAAAGAACTTCCTAAAGAACATCCTGCGGGGACGCTTAATGATTCTTTGCTCTGATGTGTCAGAGAAAAAACAATTACTGCCGTGTTAGAGTGTGCTGAAGATGCAGCTGAAAGATGTGGAGGCGTTTATAGGCTCATAAGTTTAACTGTAGAAATGGACCATTTAATGTTGTTCCTAACTCTGACAGATAATAAAAAAAGGTTCTCAGTTCATTAGGTGGGCATTGATTGCAGGTTGTCATGGTTTTGTACATTCTAAAGTATTAAATGTTAGAAAAGAACATCTACTCAATATAACATTATGATCTTAAAAATCAATGTTTTCATGTTGGCCATGAAGAAAGTCTACTCTGTAAACTTCTATGTGTTAAATGTGGGAAATTATCACC